CTTTCTAGTTGCAAAAGGTATGGAAGAATACAAAATCTGTAATAGGTATTAAACTTGCTAAGAGCACAACATTTTAAGCATAAAAATCATAAGAGATAAATACCAATGTTATGAAATATACGAGGCGTGTCCATAAAATAAGTACCGGTTTGAAAAAAAAACACATAAAAACATTTTTCAAAACAAAATGTATTTTTACATGTAAGAGCATGTCTTAAACTATTTTTCTACTTAGTTGCCACCACTGTTCGGACATTTGTCGTAGCGGAAAACCATCGTACCCTCTTTATGGAAAGATGTCACCAATGACGACAAAGTTGTCTTAAATTTTTGTTTTTTTGGGGGATCCTGATTATTGTTTGGATTCTGGCGTGACATGACAAACCCACGTTTCATCACCGGTCACAATTTTGCTTAAGAATTAATCTCCTACATCATTGTATCGAGTAAGAATTGTTAAAGCACTTCCAACTCGCTTCGTCTTATGAACATCCGTGAGCATTTTTGGAACCCAACAGGAACACAATTTCCAATAAATTAATCTTTTTGTGACAATCTCATGCAATACACTGGATCAAAACGGTACTTATTTTCCGGACAAGCCTCGTAATATGTCATTGAAATTTGTTGTTCACAGTTTAATCTTTGTTGATAAAAAAGTAATATTGAAAAGCTAGTTTTGATCAGTATCCTCATAGTAGTGCCTCACATTAAAAGATTTTATAACGCCAAATGATTTTATTTTACATAAAGTTTGTTGTTACGAAGGTGTCCAATTATTCCGGAACAGCTGTATAAGCTCTGTCTCAATAAATGTCATAAGAAGTGTAATGGGCAAAAAGTTATGCCCCTATACAAAATTAATTAATTAATATGTAACTTAATTAATTTACAAATGAGCGTTAATCTTCCCAAAAGTAACTTATTTCGGGTTTTTACTGTTGCCTGTTATTGCAGCCTTAATCGTTCTTTTTATCGATTCTTTAATTGGATTGTGATTCTTCTTCATTCTATTCTTCAACCAATACGAATTAACAAAAATTTCAAACCCACTATAGCAGATACTTAAGAAGATTTTGTGCTTCATGTTAAATCTGTCTTAGCCTAGCTTTTGATTAACTTTTAGTAATATATTTTTTTTATATTATGCATAGCATAACTGTATAAGGCCTAGTAAATACATACTAATTACCTAGTTACTCATTTTTGACACAAAATTAAACAAGATACCGTTTTGCAGGTTTTCCCAGTGGTCCAGTCTACTTTACACATAATATAGATAAATATTGTCATATGTTTACTGTTTTAAGACCAACACGCAAAAACACGCGCACTGCGATACGCAGAACACACATTTAAGTTATCACTGTTTTTGTTATAATTCCACACTATTGGTCGCGTTTGAATCAACTAGGGCACTAGGTCACTAAATCGAACGTCTTCATCCTCTGAAGGCGACGCAGGACATCCTCGTTGTCGAGAAGCTAAATGGCGTCGATTTTGGGATTATCGAGCAGTCTCTTCTCATGTTTAGATGCGAATGATGCAATTTCCGTTGCTACTTCCAAGTCGTGATGGAGGTCGGTATCTCTTATATACCAAGGTACATTCACTATGCAGCTTAGGACTTTGTTTTGGAATCGTTGAATCAGACTTGCATTTGTTTTGCAGGTACAACCCTACAGTTGGATTCCGTATGTCCATTGGTTTTAATACTTGCTTGTATATTAGCAACTTGTTTCTTAGTGATAACGTTGATTTTTTGCCAATAAGCCAATACAGGTGTATAAATTTGATATCAAGTTCCTCAGGTTTTTTTTTGACGTGAGCTTTCCATTTGAGTTTGGCATCCGGCGTCATACCAAGATATTTTGCGGTATCGGCGTAAGGGACTGCATTACCATTTATGTGTACTGGGACATAGTTTACTTTCTTAAAAGTAAAGTTCATGTATGTCGATTTATTTGTATTTAATTTTATTAGCCATCGTTTGGTCCAGTGTTTGTGTCATCTGCGAATGTAGCTGTTAAAGTTTCTGGTATCTGAAGAAGGTCGAATGTGTAGAGTAAGTACACTGTTGGGCCAAGCACACTTCCTGGAAGAACTCCGGCTTGTATTTCCTGCCGTGGTGAATAAACGTTTTCGTATTACCCTCTAAAATATCAATCAGAAAGATACGATTTTAATAGTTGACTATACTATATATAGTTGATGATAGTATTTGGTCTAGTTTGTAATTTAAACCATCCAACCAGACTTTGTCGAAAGCTTGTGCAACATCCAAAAATACGACGGAGCAGACTTTATTTTCTTTGATATTTGATTGAATTTTGATTTTTATAAATCACTAATTGTACTTTTATACTGGTTTATTATAACTAAATCCGCTTTACATGTTTCGACTAATTAGTCATCTTCAGAAGCGTTGTCGTAATATAAGAAACGGCGTTCAAAAAACTTCGCATAAAGTATAAGTCGTAAATAAGGTCAGCACATCAAAAACGGTGATATTAGTTAGTTTAAGAAATCAATTCTTAAACTTTACATTTACATTTTAACATGTTAGTTCTATAGTTTTTTAAAATTTAATATTTACAATAATTGTTTTGAATGTGCCGTTTTTGATGTGCTGACCTTATTTACGACTTATACTTTATGCGAAGTTTTTTGAACGCCGTTTCTTATATTACGACAACGATCTGAAGATGACTAATTAGTCGAAACATGTAAAGCGGATTTACTTATAATAAACCAGTATAAAAGTACAATTAGTGATTTATAAAAATCAAAATTCAATCAAATATCATTCACATCTACTGGTAAAATGGATTTTACTATTAACATTGATTAAATTTATTATCTTTATTTCCAAATTGATGTGTTGGTATTAGGGCTTTTTCTTCTATCACAAGTTTTAGTCTTTTTAATAGTAATTTTTCAAGTAGGTTTGATAGTAAGGGTAATAATGAGATTCTCCTATACGACGTAACATCTGTGCAGGGTTTACCATGTTTTTGTATCGTTATTATTTCAGCAACTTTACATATACTTGGTAAGTATTTCTGTTTAAAAGCAGCATTAATTATGTGTAATAATTTTGTAATCGCCCGTTTTGGCAGATGTTTCAATGTTATTCCATTAATAAGTTGAGATGTTCTTAAGACTTTCAGATGTTCAGCAAACAAATTAACTTTTTCTTGATTATGTTTTTGCCACCTAATTATAAAAAGGTTACATTTTATACTAACAATTTCACAACATTAAGACAAAAAGATGTTATTACTAATATAAGGGTTTCTAAGTATTGTAACAAAATGGCATGCTATTTTAAGATAACACTTTGGTTATTATTTTGATATCGCGTAAATTTAATATTAAAAAATTAAAATTTTAGAATAATTCTGTAGAATTTTTTCCATAAAAGAGGTAAAATGTCGCCAGATGAGCAGCATGAGTACAAAATTTTGAAATTATTGTTTGGAAGTGAGTTTAACAGAGTTGCACACGATTTTAATGCAATAAGAAATCATTTTAGCGTTTTTTCTTGTGACAAAATGTAAAACATTTTGTTGTCATACTTTTTTTTTGTCTAGGTGTAGTCTTATCTAGGTTAAGATGGCTAAACTCGAATATTAGCAGTTCTAAGTCTAGCGTTAGTTCTAATGATAGTGTTAGTTTAGTATACTTTTCATTGAACTAAAACTGAACTAACACTAAACTTCAGATTATGTTTCATTGAAGTAAATCTAGAACTAACACTAGGTCTAGAACTAAAAACACAAGAACATGTTTCTAGTTTAGTGTTAGTTGTAGTGTTCTAGTTTAAGTTGTTATTCTTATAGTTATTATTATTATACTAACACAAAACGTAACAGTGTGATACTGTTTTGCATTTGTGTGTATTAAAATTATTTTCATATACCGGGTTTTTGGCTATAACGGACACCTCCTTCCCCTTATTAATCTGTTGGTTTTACTGTGTATTAATTCTCTAAAAAATTTCCACTCAAAGTTTCGAAAGAGTGAAATTCCTCGATCGTTTCTAAAAATAAAAATACGATTCTACAATTTCATTATGGTGTTCTAAAAAAAATAAAACAAATTAAGAAATAGATATCAAAAAGATTCTTATCGATAAATCAAGAGGTTAAATTGCCCAACTGTCGGTTACAATAATTAAGTAATCGTCGAGGCGATTACCTTATAAAAAAAATAAGCCAGACTGGACGTTTTAAATTGCCTATTATTCGGCATATTTAACACAGTTGTGACTCATATTGTAGTCAATCTTAAGTCGATTTCAGTGACACCTGACTCAGGTAGAAATCCTTCTTTGTGGAACAGACGCGTTTGTTCCAAAAAATACCTAGAATTTGTACAAGACTGTACGGTTAAAAAAGTTAATAAGTTTTCAAACAAATGGATAAATTGCATGTTTGTAAAACATTTTCCATTTAAAAAATTTAATGAATATATTAATAAACGGTGTATTGGATTTTAGCCACCACAAATACACGTTTATTGTAATTAAAATTAAACAGATTGAACTCCATGTGTAAAGGTTATTCGCTTCAATATAGCCGCCTCAATTTACCAAACCGGATATTTCATTTACAACAGTTTTAGGTGGGGTGGAGGTTTCCAATTAATTTTTTTTTATTAAAAAAATATCGTACTGAAATTTCAATAATCACCAAAAAATCTAAAATAAAAAAAAATAATAACATAACCTTACATTTAATAATCCATTTGACATAGGGGAGTGTGCTTTGACATCCCCATAAAAGTAAGGTTAGAATCGCGACGCTTTGATTGAACGATCGAAATTAAGATTGAAAAAAATATCTTTAAGAATTAAATACAATTTCCAAGGTTGAGATTTCGTTCTGTTATTATTATTATTTTCTTTTATTCGTAAAAACAGGTCCTTAAAGGTGAACGAAACAAGGATACATTCAGTTGAAAACCGTAAAACGAGCCGGAATCGCAGAAATACATACCTATCGACGATCGCCCGGAATTTCACTTGAGCCGACACCAATTTATAAAATTTAATTTCAAATAATCACTTTCGTATTTCAAATAGCGCGCGTACTTCAAAAAATCGCCTTTTTAATGTGCGAGCCGGCAAACGGAGAAACGAAACGTATAAACGTGATACCTCTCGCGTAGCCGGAGAGGAACTGTTTTGTTTTGGTTCATGGAAGGTGAGCGCCGAGCGGGCTCAATGCTCGCGATGCTCAATCAATATCATGCGGCGGGAAATTTAAATTTAAACCCAATCGAAAAGGAGAACTCTTATTTTCATACATATATTATTCTGTTATACAACTTTGTTTGAGTCTATTCTGGTGCAAAAATTGTGTTACCCCACCACACTAAAAATACAAGAACAGTTAGTGCCATATTGAATGTGTCAATTTAGCGGGAAATTTGAAATATTTAAAAAATGAAAGAATTAACGTAAATTCAAATAATCAGTTACAATGAACATGGAAATATAATTAAGCTAAAACTTGATGATACAATATTTATGGGTATTCTTAAAATTATCAAAAGTTATGTTAAAATTTATCAAAAAATTAATTTTAAATATACAGGGTGTTCCTGTAAGTCGTGGTATAATTTTAATCACAAATATTAGAGTTAAAATTAAGGAATTATTAATTCTAATTCAAATTTTATTAATTAAAAATTAAGAAACAATGATAGAAATAAATGAAAAAATTCCAATTTTGTTGTCAATAAACCTTTTTTTAGGCCTTTAGAAACAATCTTTAAAATACAAAATACAACATAATACATTTTGGTAGATTTTTTGAACGTTTTTGAACTCCATAGTAAATGAAAATTTACATTTGATGCAGATAAATACTATCGTGCTTTGATATACCCTGCAGCGTCGTCTCCACTTTTCATTGTTTTTTGAATTATGTATAACACATTATAGTTACAAAAATTGTGGAACCATGTGCTCTGGTGTATCTTTACTGTTGTTGACACTAATAACGCTTCCTTTTAATTGGTTTGTCATTATATTGTTTGCCTGTGCATTTTTCAAGCATTTACTATGGCGGAGTCTCAAATATTTATAAATGGCAACCACCATTTTTTCCCTGGTAATAGTATTTCAAATGTTCCGACAATATCAAATGGCAAATCTTATATTCCACCGATAGTTTCTTCTAAATATCTTCCCCATCAAATTGTCAACTTCGTGTGAAACATAACCAATATCAATTACTTCGTTGAGATCAAGATCTTCAAAAATTGCTTCAAGTTCTTTCAGCATTAAAGGCCTTTTGGGATTAAATTGATATTTGACTCTACTCTAAAGTCGCAAATATACCCTGACGCATATATATTTACACCACTATAAAATTGTACATACCATTATAAAATGTTCTTGAGTCACAATATTATGATGTACTCACTTTTCCACACTTATTACAAAAGTTATAATATTGTATGTACAGAATGGTTCAAATTCAATGTCCGAATAGGCTATCTCGGAAACTATAAGAATTAGAAGAAAAGTAGCTTACATGTCATGATCTCGTTTTTCGAGAAACTGCTAATGCCAAAAGTCTAAAAGTTCTGTCGTCTTTTGTTTTTCCTCTAAAGACCAAAATTGAAAATATCGTAAAACCAGCAAGTGCAATTATCTTGGTTATTATTGTAGGTGGCGTATTATAACTAAGATATTATATGGACACTTTTTAACAGAGAATTTGATGACGTCAAATTAGTAGTCAAAAAAAATTTTTCGGTTTTAGATTTTGAGATATTATGACAATTTTCGTTTTTTTAAATGGAAACAACCACTGATTATTCGCTTATTAAATTCGTTATTTTTTTCTGATTACAAAAATATGGGGTTAGATAGGTCTATTTCTTATTGTTTTAGAATAAAGCTAAAAATAAACTTTTTTTTTAGTGTCGTCAAAGAAATTAAATTTACAGTTTCCTGTAAATTACGGTACTATAACTAAAAACTATTCTACTAAAAATTTATATAAAATTTACTTTATTTTCTAATATGTAACATTCTAACATGTTAAACTTTTCGTAATCCATCTTAAAAAAACAGGATTTTTAATTTGATACTTCAGAAAATTTTTGAATACAAACAAATATTGCTATATTTATTTGAATTAAAAAAATGTATTACCGCCATCTATCAATAATTTATTAAGAAAAAAAATAATAATATTTGTCCACAACTACATTATAATATTGTATATCTTATGAATAAGTTTTCTATAACAAAATGGTAGTCATTTTCACGGAGTGAATAATAGCGGTGAATATTAATCATTATTCACGGGCATTCACGGGTAACCAACTTGACAGACTAATAATAATAATTATTTGAAACGTTAAAATTTCAAAAAACGTCAATTTAATTCAATTTTTTAGGAGTTTCTAAATGTTTGAGATTAAAAAACCTAAACAGATTCCTTTTTTCGTATGAAGTAAGCATAAATTAATTAATTTTCGTAAAGAAAACGACGTTTTATAAAACTGACATTTAATTTTAACAAATTGTTATGAAGTTGGTTACAGTTAGTAACATTTCTTTAACGACACTAAAAAAAAGTTTATTTTTAGCTTTATTCTAAAACAATAAGAAATAGACCTGTTAAACCCTATATTTTTGTAATCAGAAAAAAATAACGAATTTAATAAGCGAATAATCAGTGGTTGTTTCCATTTAAAAAAACGAAAATTGTCATGATATCTCAAGATCTAAAACCGAAAAATTTTTTTTGACTACGTCATCAAATTCTTGGTAAAAAATGTCCATATAATGTCTTAGTTATAATACTACACCTATAATAATAACCAAGATAATTGTACTTCTTGGTTTTACGATATTTTCAGTTTTGGCCTCTAGGGGAAAAACAAAAGACGATAGCGCTTTGAGGTTTTCTGCATTAGCAGTTTCTCGAAAAACAAGATCATGACATATAAGCTACTTTTTTTTTAACTCTTATAGTTTCCGAGTTAGCCTATTCGGACATCGAATTTGAACCAGCCTGTACATAGGTAACTTTTTTTAAACATTACTGTGGAAAGATCAAAAAGGTACCAAAAATTATATTTGCGTAAACAATCTTTTTCTTCTCTTTACCTAAATTCAATAGAATATGTATTTAAATGCTTTATTTATTACTTGCAATAATATTCTCAATTTTGTCGTAATTTGGGGCGTAAATGAAACCCAGCTCGTCGAATAAACATAATTAAATTATATATTATATTCTTTCTATAATAGATAGTAATTTTTAATTTTTATTTAATTAATAAACGACTCTGAATACCACCCTAACCAACTATTTGCTGTCACAAAAACAACATCAAACAAGTTTACGAATGCAATTCATATGTATATCTACTAGTAGTGGCTAGGTCCCAATGTTGCGTTAACGCAACGTTCAACTTCAAAGTGACTGGGAAACTAGATTTTGTAAAAATAATTAGCTATGCCTTCAAATTCTTTTCGAATGTTGCGTTAACGCAACATTTTCTTAAATATTTTCAATACGGTTTGTCTTAGAAAGATAAAACTTGGTAAATACTGCAATTTTATCATGAAAAATCGTTTAATATCACTTTTGAAAACATGCAACCACGGGATCAATGCTATACAGGATGTTCACAAAGGTTATTTCCTTCAAACTTTTTTATTATGTCATAACCCCTTAAATTTTACAACTGATTCTAAAAACCTATTTAATTTTAAAATTATTTTCACTCTTAGAAATTTTTCTTTAGACACATCGTTTTCGAGTTATTCGCAAAAAGATACAACCTCGATTATGATATTTTTCATTAATCGTAGGTGCCTATGAAAACAAATTGTAACTGGAGCAGGAAAGCAACTGTCAAATCATTATCCAACATTCGTTAGTCGGTAATAGTTGTTTGAAATGACAAATAATTAGTTTTAGTGAGCAAACTGATATGCTTTTAACGTTGGGAGAGTGGTTAGGCAATGCTAACGCAGTGGTGAGATGATATTGCAAATAACTGATGATACTGTTGATATCAACAATTCGGACATTTCGGAATATCCAAAAGTACGGCTTGGCGTGTGTCACATCGAACAATAATTGTCGACAGTACAAGAATTAAAAATTGCTGATCATCCGTTGCGAATACAGTTTTGCCACACTATGATGGAACAATGTACTATTGATGCTGCGTGTTTAGAAAAAATACTTTTTATTGATGACCATTAATTTGACATATTGCTTTACTGCTTTACTTACGACTTATTTTCATGGGCGTCTACGATTAATGACAGTATTTTATGGACGACGTTGTCTGGATCATTTTGTGAATAACTCTAAAACGATGAGTCTAATCAAAAATTTCTAATAGTGAAAATAATTTTAAAATGAAATATTCTTTTAGAATCAGTTGTAAAATTTAAGGGTTTACGACACAATAAAAAAGTTTTAAGGTAATAAACTTTGTGAACACCTGTATAGCATTGATCCCGTTATTGCATACATTCAAAAGTGATCTTAAACGATTTCTCATGATTGCCAAATTTTATCTTTCTAAGACAAACCATATTGAAACTATTTAAGAAAATGTTTAAAAAATATTTAACTTTGAAAGTCCATATCTTATGGACACTTATGGGTTTAGATTAGACCAAAAATTTTTGCATGAATTGTCAGCATTTTAACTCTAGTATTTTGAATTTTTAAAAATGTTACAGTCATTATACACTTATTTTATTTTTTTTATTTTCTTAGTTTTTTAGGTACCACTATTCGGAACATTCGATCTAAAATATTTTTAAGATGGCTGCCACTTCCGGTCCTTATTTTAAATGGAATGCTATAGTTTTTATTACACCTTTTAATTGTAGGGTCAGATGGGGTAATTGTAAATTCGGGGTTATTATGCACGCTGTCCTAACCTTTGTATCGAAGGAAATATCGATACGTCAGTGGTCATATACTATTTATACATCCTCACACCTCATGCAGGTTTACTGAAACGAAAGTGTAACTTCCTTGTACACTGACGAAAGAAGTTCCTTGTTGGCAAAGTTCGCCATGCTCTTTAAAACCCCATATCTCAGCCAACGTACATTCAAAAAAGCTCTAAATTGGCACGATTACTCTTCAGATTCTGTCAAATAGATTCTCATTTGTTGTATCAGAGTATCTTTAACGATCTG